AGGTCAGGAAAGACCAAACTTTTCCCTGGCCACAGCTCCACAGTACAGAGAAGGAGAGGGCCCCCAAATGCGCCCTACTTATAATGAACCACCTCTATCTGAAGGTTTGCATTCAAATTTGGTACATTCAGCTCATGCACTGACACTTTGGGACATGCATGCAGATCCCCAAGAAAAAGAAGGTTGGATAATTTTCCTGATTCCTAAATTATTGACCATCATACAAAAACTGCTATATAATGTTCAGCCCAGCTAGCAGTTTCTCCTTAGGAAGAAACCTAGGTGATATTCACAGGGCTGAAGGAGGTTAGTGGGTAATGCGTGGGCAGTGCTGCGTAATGGAAGCTTGCAGAGCACATATCCACACTGCATTTGGCTCTAGCCGGAATGAAGCCACAGTATCACTTTCATAAGCATCTGGTTTGCACTGATAAAAACAGTGATTCTTTCCCCAGATTCACCTATTACCAACTTCTTATCTAAATGAGTAAGGAATTTGTAGTGCCAGCTCTCCAGTTACTGAATGAAAAACAGGCTTGGCTGGGAGCGAGCTTTGAACAAAACAGTAAAACAGAGAAGGGAAACAATAACCAATAACTGCAGCTATAACCCCAAACTAGGCAAAATCCACCCAGCATCACTAGCAGTGAATACTCAAAAGAATCATGAGGCAAAGTATGTAGGTCTGATATTTGCAAACATGGTAAATATAACCTCTTAAAGTATTAAAATATTCACTAAAGAGACAAAAGATTGCCACCGGATTGATGGAGTCAGAGCTCTGCTTGCAATTGGTGCATTTTCTCTCCATGGCTCTCTACCTTAAGTTCCCTTGCCCCAGCTAGAATTGAAAGATGGTAGAAAGAAAATTGTTCCCTACTTGCTTAAACAGGCAAATCTAATAAAAAATAAAATTAAAAAAACAATCCCAAAGACCAGATGGCACTACCGCAAAGGTTTAGGGAGATGTGAATGTGCGTTTTCATGTGTACGTGTCTCTGTACAGACAAAATCTTGTATGTAATGGGAATTTGTATAATTTTTAATGGTAATTGGTATTAGGAGGCAATAGGAGAGCAAATGTGTCTTTTACACTAGAGTATGAGGAAGGGATGCAAACACAGAACATGCAAACATTCAGTCACGTCCAGGACTGTAAAAGGGGCTAACAGAATTCAAACTGAACATGGCAAGTCCTTCAGAGGAGAAGTCAGGCTGAATTACTGAGGAACCAATCAACCATCCTTGTACTATACCTTCCACACTTTCATGTCCTTCTTACCGTTAACCTGCAGTTGTCCCTCTCTGCCTCTTCCCCACTCTGACATGGGCACAACAGAGCATTAGTAAAATTTCATGGATGAAACTGTTGGAAGTTGGAGACATTGAAAGTCATAATCATAATGACAGACCACTGGAATTAGCTGGAATTTTGATGCCCGACCTATCTTCATGTGTGTCTGCACAACCCAATATCCACAGTTGCATCCGCAAACAGAAGTCTAGCCAGTGCTTTGATATAGATGCTTGGGTTTTGTTTGGTTTTGTCTGCTTGTCTTGTTTTGTTCCTTTGCCTCCATCCTCCCCCCTTTCTTTTCAGATCAAGTCCCCAACATTTATTGGACATTTTTTCCCAAAAAAAACAAACCAGTGAAAGATACAGGTTTCTCAAGTTAAAAAATAGTTTAACTTTAAAAAAAAAATTAGAAACAGAAGTGCTATAGAATGTAATTTATCCCATAATTGTTTGTTCCAGAAATCCATGACTTACCAGTACTAAGGAAGCCAAAAACACCGACCCGGTAGTTTGCCATCACGACAATGACGTTACTGACGGCAGCTAGGTATGATCCATCTATGGTTGTCTTTCCTGTCTTAGCATTGTAACTCTCTCCATTGTGGAAGAACAGCAACACTGACATGTTCTTGACCTGCCATGATGACAACCAGGTTAATATTCCTGTAGCCAACTGCTTTTGTAGGTCACTGATGAGAACACAAGCATCTTCCCAATTAACATTATCTAAGCCAATCATAGCTCTTTAACAGTGATCATAATGAGGGGATATCTCGCCATCTGTCTGAAATTCTAGGGGTAAATTGTCCACAATGACCTACATACCATTAAAGAGGACACCATCCAGTATAAAGCAGGTTTAATGGCACCACTGTGTTCCACCAGCCAACAACCCTACCAGGTTAGCTCAAGGCAGACACATCCTGTTGACTTGGCCATTGAGCTTGTGGTGGGCTTGTCTTTGCTGTGACATGTTTGCTTTACACAAACATATAGGAAAAGTTCAAACTAGTGGGAAACAAGAAGGAAAAGGCCTGTTGGGTTGCTTCATCTTGAGCATGACTAACTCAAAAGCTGTGCAGGGCTGCTTCCTACTCTGAAATCTTCAGCTTTTAAACACTGCCTAGTCTCAAAAATCTCACTTGACAAGAGCTTCTTCTTGCTCCTTCAATCCCCACAGAGTTTTTCTAGATATATAGAGGGGTCCTGCAGAGAGGACTTTGTCTTCGCATGGGAGAGACATACCTCTCGTGAAGCACAGAGGGAGTCTGCCCCAAAAGAGCCCAGCAGGACTCTCGGGATGGGAAGGACTTACGATGGGCTGCTGCCCGTGCTAGCACTCCTTGCAGAGTCACCCGATTTTACTCAGACACAGAGGCTTCTTCCCAAAGCAGCAGCGCATCTGTGTGGGCTCTCTCTACACACACAGCAGGGCTGCAGCCAGGTTGTTGCTGCATGAGCAACACAAAAACAGAACTGCCCCAGGAGACCTCAGTATTTACCAGCAGATTACAGCTCTGTCAAGATGAGACTCAGAAGAAATACCAATGAAACATATGGAGGGGTTTAGTTTTGGTTTTTGCTTATTTTTTCCCTTGCTGCTGCATAAAGCAGAATAACCTGCTCCAATGCAAGAAAGGGGTTGTCAAAGTGTAGCCTCAACCTTCCATTCAGCACTTTCATCTCCTATTGCCCACTTTGGGACTATCCTGAATGAAGCTTCTCTCTCCTGTGCTCAGCAGCGGGTCACACACACCCACCTGTCCCACTTTCTGCTTTGGCAGCTGGTGGTGTTTTTCAAAGAAGGGTTGGTGGCCCCTGCAGCAGCATCAAAGTACATCTGAGGTTTGTTTGTTCCTGCAGTTAGAGGGCATTGGGCTCTGCTGCTGTTATTTTCTGGATGGAGCTTAGCTAAACACAGCAGTCTCATCTGCTCTGGCAAAGGATGCCTCCAGCAAAAATGCAACTGGTTGTACGGGAGAAGCAGCAGAGAAGTGATGGATGCAGCCTCCTTCAGAATTACAGGATAGGATGCAAATTCCCCTCAGTTGCCCTTAATTTGTCATGACTGTGTGCACTCCTTACTTACCTATCCGGAGTATCACTTCAGAGGCTTCTTGTGAACATGACAATGTTACCAAGAAAACCCAAGAAATTGCAAGCACTGAAACATGTTGCTCTCTCTCAGGAACTTCTGCTCCTGAATAGAAATTGCCTAATTCACAGTGCCTTCCCCCGGTTCCCATTTCTGCACTGCATGTAGCACACAGAGACAGATGCGGGTAAAGAAAAAAAAAATGAAAGATCTGTTTTCACATGGAAATTCATTCTAAAATACAATCACATTGAGTCATGTCAGCTAAAATGGTATTAAATGTGATATTTAGCCTGCTCCATCCCCTCAGCTCAACCTGGTTAAGCCTGAGGTTCAAACTAGGCATTTCCCATGTGTCCACAGCCTGCATAGTAACATGACCTCCAGCTGCCCTGTAAGTTGTCTATTACATTATGCTGAGTGACTTTACCCAGTGCTGTAGTGACAAAAAGCTTAAGAAAGCGAAAGACAGGAGACAAAAATTTAAAAAGGCAAAAGAAAGCTTGCTGCAACAGATATGGAGCCATTTGGGTGAAGACTTAGCACTGTGCCTAGTGCCAAGTGTCTGGACATAGCATTCCCATTTCTAGTCTGCATCGAGCAATGACAGATCCCTCTCCTATGTAAAGGTAAATATAATGAAAAATAATTTGGGTTTTAATCCCATGGGATTTCAATCTCAGAGCTCATGGATTTGGGCATTTTAGATGAAGGCTGTTTAACGTAATTGTCTTCCCATTTCTTGTTAGTCATTTTAACAGCATAGCACAATTATTTTCATGCTGTAATTGAACTATGCCTGACAATACGAGATATTTCATGTCATCTACCTATCTATCTATATATTTGATAACCAATTAATTTTTTACTATACGTTAGCTGCTGGATACTTTATTTTGAATTTAAGTGAATTTCACCCAAGCTTTGTTCTCCACCAAATTCAACCAACCACTGCAATTAAATCTGTGAGGCAGAAGAAACACCAGACCTTAACTAAAGCCTGCTGGAGCCAGTCCCTTCACCCACCACCACTTGGTACCAGGTTCAGCTGCAGCAACACCAGCGTCAATGCCAGGTTGCAGAGTGGGACCAGCACGTTCAAGTTCCTCGCAGACAGGCCATGGCTACCACGTGGCTACTACCCAGTGCAGGGTTTTGCGCCATACTTAGCAACAAAATACAGACAGTTGCACTTTGTCATGTAAAATCTGTGCAAAAACTTCCAACTGGGACATGGTCAGACAGCTCCCTAGCTTAGCTAGCAGAGGGATGTCTTCTCAGGAGCCCAGCAGCTCCACTATCGTCTCATGCCTGCAGGGGCTGAGATCCCATGTGCACACTCTCAAAGGGGAGAGAAGTTCAGCATCCACTAGGAAGATGCAAGTCAGCTGGAAGTCTGAAAGGCTTTATAATATTCAGAACCATCTTCTCCATCCTTCTGCAAAACACTTCATGAAATACTCAGCAGGGATAAATTTAAACTCTACTGAGCCAGGCAACCTCCAGTGTTTTTACTACTGTACAATATTGGTCTGTAAAGAATTGAGTGCAACAGGGATGATGCGATAAGGGTGGGAATAACACATGCAGGGGATGGGAGAAGAGGAGAGAGGGCACACTTTCTATTCTTTGATGGAGAGTTTCAACTCTTCATCTTACATTTGAATCTTTTGTAAATAAAGCTGAAGTACAGCTTTGCTTTGCTAATGTGACAGGTAGTGATGGTTACAGGTGGAAAAAAGTCTCTCAGAAGTACCAGTTTTATTTGGAGGGTCATGTGGTACATGTAGTTATGGAAGCAAAATGAGGTGATGTCATTCACCTTCTTCACTGCTTGATACTTAAAGAATCCTTCAGTGACAGGCAGCAGTGCCTGCACTGTGCTGCTGTTCAGGCTCAAAATGCTCTTGAAAGACCTCTGCATTCGTTGCTCTCCAGGAGATTCAGTGTTTACTAGCTAATTTAACTTTCCATGGGCTGAAAATATATAAAAATAGGTCTCTGTATGTGAGTGAAAAATAGAGCTTGCCACAAAAAGAAACAGGAAAATGCCATGCCTTCTGCTCCCAGCTACTTCTGCAAAAACAGTAGTTTTGGTTCTCTCTTGGCCTAGACTTATACATGTGAAACTGATTGACTTGATTGGACCTACTTCTACCTTACACCTCTACAAAAGACAGGAAGGATTCAATTCACAGTATCGCTAAGGAGAAAAGACAAACCTATTTAGGCTATCAGATGGCTGAAAATACAATACTTTTAAATAAACTATCTTGAAAGCAGCACTTAAGCGGTGATGGCAAACTGCCTGGGACAGTGACCTGATGTTTTCAATAAGCAATGACTGCACTCAGGCAAAATGGCAGTCTGATGCTGCAGGGAGAAAACAGACTGCTGGTCTATCTAATGATTAAAAAGGGCCTGCAAGGGACTCTGTGTGCTGCTGTCAGACAGCTAGACCAGCACTTTCCAGACGTGCAGTATGACGGACTAATAAATTTCTATCACCACTACCATCACCTTCCGAATATTACCAGTATTGTGGAAAGAAAAACTCTGTTCCTGTGCTCTGGGCCCACTCTTCAATGAGATTCACATATCATTCAGCATCTTTATCCCCAGCCCCCCCAGGGATTTGGTCAATCATCTAAGCTTGGCTTTAACTTGAATCTTTATTCTATATCTGTTTAGAATGAGAAATTCAAGAGCTTTCAAATGACAATTTCTCAGATTGTACCATTGGCCCAGTCATCTTTAAAACATCTATTTCTGTGCTCTGTAGGCTGGGCACAAATCTAGTATTTTTTACTACCCTCATTCCTCAACAGAGCTCCCATGGATATCAATGGGGTAACAGTAAAGATGAGGGTGAAAAACCCATCTGCTGCTGCTTGACTGGCGGTAAGCGTTGATGTGACGTGTTGTATTGCATTATCATTTACTGGACAAACAGTTTCATTTCAGGGACATTGCCATTTCTGTCGTTAATTCCTCCTCCTTCGCTGCCACCTTCTTCTTGTGTTTTGTTTCCCTCTTTATCTCTCTCTTACTTCTAGTTTTTTAATTTGCTACCCTCCTAGTTACTCAAACACGCCTTACTGAAAGCCTCTAGAGAATATTCGTGCACTAATAAAAACAACAGAGTGCCTAATTTAACCTTGCAGGGCTTTGTGAACAACACAGGAAAAACAATCATTCATGCCAATTAAAAGTACTTTGAAAAGAGACTGCTCAGCTACAAAAAAAAAATCGACTTGTCTCCTACTTACAGTTGTTTTTGACATTCAGATATAGGCAGTCTTCGCTGACAGAGTGTGATGGGGCCTCTCCATCTCCTGGCTGCCAACAAGATGCTCTAGAGACACAGATTGAGAAAATTACAATAAAAAGGCTGGTACTCTTTTTCCACTGCTGCTATTTCTTTATATTTTAATGCATTAAGCTTATAAAATCTTTAAATCTGTAGATCTCAATCACATTTAAAACTATGCCCACCTATACCTTACTAACATATACATGGGTTTGTATACACGCATGCA